AGGGTGGGGTAGATTGGTGGGAAAGGTTTAAAAAGAGTTTTGAAAAATATTTTTCCTTCTCTTGATATGGAAAACATTTTCATCCAATTAGAGAAAAAAAGTTCACTAGGAAAATATTTTCCAAAATATTTAAACCAATCAAATATGAAAAAATCGAAAAATATTTTTCGGAAATATTTTTCTTCATACCAAACACACAGTAGGATATGACGCTTTTGTGTCCAACTTTGTCTATTTCTCTCTCTTTTTTCTCTTTGCAATTGCCAATTGGTGTGTTCATTGCTATATTTGAAAAGATGTGGATAATATGTAATAATTTGTTAATGGTGAAAATGAACCCTTGACATGTTCACATGTGACAGGAGACAATATAAATAACGTTAGTCGCCTTGTGTGCAAAGAATCGTTTAATAAACTTCAAATTATTAAATTAACAATACTTACAATCCTTAGATGAAAATTAATCATACATCTCGTGATGAATTAGTTGCATATTGACATTAAGCCACCAACTTTATCGGGTTATAGTGAACTAAAAGATAAATCTTGCAATTTTTTCTTTTTGCAAATATTGTGATAATAATTTAAGATTTCTTTTTCCTCGTAATAATGTAAGATGAATAAACTCCCTAATAACAATAAAATGTGGATATATTATTACCTTAAAATTTTATTGTGAAGTACTTAGAGGTTAAAAAAAAATTGTATTCGAAATATCAAAGTGAAAGAGTAGTGGCGGAATTAATGGGATACAATCACATAGCTTTATTGAATCTGTAATCCTGTATGCACCAAATATATGAATACTCCAATCACCAATACCGATGCAGTAAAACAAAAGAAAAGGAAAAAGGTGAAAACTGAAAACTAAAAAGACCAAAAATCGATCATTCTATAACAACATTAATGACCCAGTGTCAAATTTTCTTTGAACAATGTTGCAAAAGAATAATTGTCTAACTTTTATTAATATCCTAGGAATTATGATATGGAATTGCTTTTTGTTGATTACTACTTTTGAGAGATGAAAATATATTACTCATAAGGGACGACAACAACCAACTTTATGAAGAATGTCCAATCATTTGGTAGGGTAAGTTTTACTATTAAAATGTTTATTTCCTCTCATATTTTTAAATTATTTTCATGTGTGAATAACATATTACGAATGATTTCAATTAATCAACACAATTACACAACATAGCGTGACTATAATATTAATTGTGGAAATAAATCCTTCAAATTTATTTGGCACAAGCAGGTCTTATATCAAGTCGGGCTAAAGTAACCTAAAAAAACTTTATAAAATACTTTTTTTAAAATTTGGAGAAAATGATAATAAAGCCAATCCCAGAAGATAACGTATTAGAGTATATGGCGAATAAATTCTACTATGAAATCTTCCAATGGGACCGAGGGCGAAGCTAGTGTGTAAGTTATGTGTTCGACTCAACCTTGTACAAATTATTAAGTTAGAACTTTATAATTTAAAAAGAGTAGAATCCCAAACCTATAAATTCAAATTCCGTTCCCCTCCTGAATATCTTTTTCTATACCAAGATCAAGTACATATTATTTTTACTTTGCCTGTAATTAAATTTAAAGAAACATATATTAATATGACAAAGAAGCAAATATGACAGGGCACAATGCAAAAATGATGATTGGCTACAATTGGCCAGTTTAACCAAGTATCCCCTCGCGAAGTGGATAAGATATATCTTATGACAAACCCACAATAATATAATAATAGTCTACCCCAAGCCAAAGATTTCGCAAACAATCCAATACTCCAATGGCAACCATTCTCCACCACTCATCTTTCCTTTCTTCCTCCTCCTCCTCCACCACCACTACCACCACAAAACCACCAATTCCACCACCCTTTTCGAGACCCCACGCCACCCTCTCACCACCCTCTAAACCACTTCTAATCAAATTAACCACCACTCTAACAGCCACAGCATTAGCAACCACAATATTAACAACCACTTCCCCTTCACTAGCAGACTCTCCCACAACCTACAAGATTTACTATGGCACAGCAGCTAGTGCCGCCAACTACGGCGGCTACGGTGGAAACTCCGACAAAAAAGCGTCGGCCGAGTACATTTACGACGTCCCAGATGGGTGGAAAGAGCGGCTGGTGTCAAAAGTTGAGAAGGGAACAAATGGTACAGACAGTGAGTTTTATAACCCAAAGAAGAAGACTGAGAAAGAGTACCTTACTTATCTTGCAGGGTTTAGGCAATTAGCACCTAAAGATGCTGTTTTGAACAACTTGGCTTTATCAGATGTGAATTTGCAAGACATCATTGCTAATGCTGATAGTGTTACATCAGAAGAGAGGAAAGATGAAAATGGGCAATTGTATTATGACTATGAAATTGATGGAGTTACTGCACATAGCTTGATAACTGTTACTTGTGCTAAGAACAAGCTGTATGCTCATTTTGTCAATGCGCCAGCTCCAGAATGGAAGAAGGATCAAGACACCCTGAGGCACATCCATCAGTCTTTTAAAACTGTTCGGTAATATATATAGGATTGGTCTTTTTTATTTGCACTATGTATTTGCATTTGGCATTTGGCTATAGAGGAAGAGTTTTGGAATATGTAATAACTGGATAAAACCAATGAAGAGATTTCCATTGATATACAAATTGGTTTCTTTTCTTTCAATAAAGCCGCATCAATGTTACAATGAACTTACAAAAAGTTACATCTGTACATCTTGTATACATAATTCACCTATGCAAAAAGAACTTTGACTTGCCTGATTTTGGAATTAGGTATTTCCATCTTCTCCAATCTGATATGTTCCTTTGCAGCTTCCGGTAATGAGTGAATATCACTACATCTAGGTTGTGCCATCTTAGCTCCCCAGTTAGCCATATGATTAGCTTCACTGCAGCAATGAGAGATTTGCACTTCTTCAAAGTTCTCAAGAAGTAATTTAATCTCTTCCACCAGAGAGATTAAATTCCATAAAGTAGTAATTTTGTCTGATATCCAGTTAATTGGTAAGCCTCAATACCAACTCTGAGATATCCATTTCGACTGCACGAATCAATTTCCATGTGAATAGCAGCACCATTGCTTTGTAACCAAAGTTGGCTGCAAATGCTGCAACCAACTCCCCAGTTTCAGCTCTAATAACTCACCTTCCCCCACTGATACCCAGAATTGAGCTTAATGAATCCACTTCTTGGCTTACTACATAACGCCCTGGTACAAGTCTCAAAATTTCACAAGCGCAAACTTGCTATTGTTGAATTTTGCCAAGATTAATGTGAACTAGTGTGAACATTTGAAGTCTCCTTTTAGGAAGAAATTGGTAGATGGATTTTTCATGCATTTACATTGCATGTTCACACTTAATATGATGTCATGCATGACATTATTAAGGTCATTTCTCTTCTATAAATAGCAAGGGTTTTGTTCATTTGTAAACATCTCTCACTTGCCTTCTTATCTCCTAAGGCATTTGAATCTTCTTTCTCTCTTGTAGTATTTCACTTGTATTTTTGGAGTGAAATAAATTTGAGTTGATTGTGTCCGAGGACTAGGCAAAAATTAAATTTTGCCGAACCTCGTTAATTTCTGGTGTTCATTTTATTATTGTCTCATTTACTATTTATTAGCTACCTTTAGATATAATAGTTGTGATTTAATCACTCTCTATATATTCGGCTTCTCAACAATTGGTATCAGAGCCAAGGTTCTATCTTAGTATGCTCTGTGGTTGCAGCAAAGTCTGAACTTTCACATCAGAAAAGAATTACTTTGGTGTTCTGTACTGTTAGCAAATAAATAGTATCTATAGAAAAATGGGAGATAATAAAAATGAAGAGTCCACATCGGGTGTCAGTAATACGTCGTTGGCATCTTCGCTTATGACAAGAATTATATCAAATGCGAAATTTACAGTTGAAATTTTTGATGGGTCAGGATATTTCGGGATGTGGCAAGTTGAGGTTCTTGATATCCTTTTTCAAC